AAGCACCCTTCTTGGTATACTCTGGCAAGTTGGGCAGTTGTGGGGGGTACACTTAAAAAAACCCCAAACCCAGTTGGGCAGTTGTGGGGAGTACACTTAAAAAAAAATTCAATCTGCTGAGTGAAAAGTGGGATTCAAATTTAAGGTAGAAGGCATCGTACTACTCTGCAATTCTAAAGAACGCCTATGACCTTCCCATTAAAGCAGGGTCACAAAGGAAATTGAGTCATCAGCTTCTTGCTGTGCAAACCCCCAAAATTTCTCTCTGAGGCAGAAAAAGATCCCCTTTAAAAGCCACGCGGCCCCTGGTAGTATCTGCCACCCGCTTCAGCTCATTCTTTTGCAAGAACCACTTCCCTTTCAGGCTCTTGGGTGGAGTCAGCTAAAACAAAGGTCCTGGGGAAACACAATTGCAGTCACTATCTTGTCCCCAGCCCCAGCCACAACCAGGAGGCAGTGCTGAACTCCCATCACCTCCTCTCCATCAGGGGACCCCAGCCTTGAAGCATCTGACATTGTAGGCTGATCCGAAACCTCACTTGGGTGGCCATGTGTCACCTAGAACTGCACATTGGGTTTCAGTTCAAGACCCATGTCAGCCAACTGCCTGGGGTCTCACAACCTACTATTGAGCATGTGAGGAGTGGGTCTCTGGGTCAGTGCATGTGACATGCTTGCTGGGTCAGAGTAAGAGCTTCTGTGGTGCCTCTTTTCTCGTTTTCAGGCAGAGGGCATTGCCCTAACTTGTCTTATAGGCAAGCAACTACCTCTCCCTTTATTCCAAGCATGCAAATGAGAGCATGTCTAGAAGGGCAGCTGGACTCTGATAAGAGAAGTGACTTATTTTAGTTACAAATAACTTGGTTGGCATCTCTGACAGCTGTGGCCAAACCTGGGGAGAGACAGACCAAGGCAGGGCAGCCAAGAGTCCCGAGCCTGCCGGGGGTGGAGAGAGAAGCCACCCATGCAAGGCTTCACTCATGCTGGCCACAGCGGGCAGGGAGTGTGGGCGAACCACACACAGTCTCCAAAGTCCTCCAGACACAAAGTAACAAATCAAAGGAGCATAAGCATTGGAGTCTAACATGGGAGGATGTTAGATGATGGGGAAATCCCAACTCCACCACTGGGTCCTGGGGCAAGTCATGCCATCTCCCCAAGCCTCGATCTCTTTATCTAGAAAATGGAGTTAAGAGACTGTGTAGGGCTGTTGGGAGGCTGAAATGAGATATCCTGTGCTACCCCAGCTTCATGTCTATCATAGAGCCAGTGCTCACTGAGTGATATTTCCCAGAGACTCAGGACTTAGGACCCTGCTTTACATAGGACCATATGGTACCATAGCCGAGTGTCAGGCTTTTAACCCTTCAGTGCTCCTAACCATCTAGTGATGTTCCAGGAGGTGCTAGAAGCCCCAGGACAATACAGAAAATCTTTCTCGAACACCAACTTTGCTATATGGTAAAAAAGATATATATTATTATTATATTAAACTCAAATTGGGTATATTGTAGAGTAATACATAAAATTGTAATGAGTGTGTAAGGCAGTATTTAAGGCGTTAAACAAATGTTGTTACACCAGTAGACCACACCCTCCCTGCTCACTGCAGGGGGTGGGTTTGAGGCTCCCACAGTCCTCATGATAGAGATATATCAGAGACCAAATGTATAAAAAGTGCCCTGCCCTAATATCTTAACAAGTCACAGAGAGGGGAAGTCATTAGTCCCTCTCTTTAAGGTTTTCTAAACGATCCTTGGAGTTCCCGTCCCTGAGTCTATGACGGTGAGTCACGAAATAGTTCCTGAATGAATGGAAGGGAATCCGTCATAAACTAAGAATTTCATGCTGTCCAGCATCCCCTCCTGTGTGGGGCAATTTGGGGAAAAAAAAAACCGGAACATTTTCCTACTGGCTGCCAGCCTCCCACACACAGACTTGTCACCATGCCTTTGCAGGAAGTAGATGTCCAATGTGTAAATGGGGAATACCTGAATTAATTGATGCCAGCCCCAACAGAGATGAAGCTTTGCCTCTTTGCTTCTTCACATGGGAAAACACAGCCAAAGATCTAACTCCCAGCAAGAGGTGGAGTCTCTAATGCTCAATTAGAGAGAAAGGAGCAGAAGCCCCAGGGCTCTCAGATGCTCTCTTCTTTCTCAACACTAGGCACGCAATTCCCAAGCAAAGACCCTCTCACCCACAGAGAAAAGGAGATACATGTGCATGAAGGACTCAACCCCCCTGCCATCCAGCAAGGGTCACTTTCTTCCTCCTGCACAGGACCCCTAATTCAAGATACCTGTTCCCCAACTCAAAGTTTCTGGGTCCAATGTCACTTAACTACATTTGGCCATTTCTCCACTTTTTGCTGTCCCATACACAGATTGGACCCCTTCCTCCTCCCAAAAGCCTTGCTCCTTTCTAAAGTTTTCTCATGGTTGTCTGGAGCCCACCACTCCCCAGAATGAGGCAACAAGAGCTCCTTTCCTTCCCCCTTCCTCTTTCTTAGTCCGCCTCCCCCCATCCACCCCATGCCCAAACCCAAGCCCTCTGACAAAGTCATGTCTCCTTTCCAAGTCTCAGTTCCTGCCAAACAACTTTACAAGCACATGAAAGCGAGGGCCGGGGCAGTTATTGCTACTGGCACTTCATTGTGCTTCCTCTAAATGATGCTCCGCAAAGGGGCCGTGGAAATTCAGGGCAGGAGGGAGCCTGCCAGTCTCTGGGAGAACCCCAAGGGTTAGGACACTGCCCAATATTTGGAGGTGGGCCCTTTAGAAGAATCAGGGAGACAGGCTGGAAGGAGTCAGGAGTCAGAATGCCCAGAGACAAAGCAGAAGATGGCACTGGTAGGTAACACACAAATAAACTTCCCTAGAGAACATAGGGAAGCCACCAGGACCCTCTTCTCTGAGGCCAGGCCCAGGGCTCTTCTTGATCTCCAGCTTCCCACTTCTCTCCCATTCTGACTGTTTCTGCTTTTCAAGGGCCTATTTGAGCTCCGGCTCCTTTTGGAACTTTTCCTAAGGCCTAGGGTCCACCGAAATCCTTCCCTCCCTGAAATCCTTTTTGAGTGTGTCCATCTTATATTCTAATCCAACACATTCTAAGCCTAGGCTTTGGAACTCAGTGGAGCTGCGTTTTCATCCGGCTTTGCTCCTGGCGTGTGAATGCCAGCAAGTCACTTAACCTAAGCATCAGTTTTCCTCCCGTCAAACGGGCCTGATAACAGGAAACTTCTTACTAGGCCATTGTGAAGGTAGAATGAGATAACACATAGAAAGGATTTGACATAATGCCTGGCACAGTGAAAATATACAGTAAATGGTAGCTAGTGCTGTATTGCTTTTTCTTTTCTTTTTTTTTTTTTTTAGACAGAGTCACATTCTGTCATCCAGGCTGAAGCGCAGTCGTATAATCTTTGCTTACTGCGACCTTCGCCTCCTAGGTTCAAGCGATTCTCCAGCCTCAATGTCCCAAATAGCTGGGACTACAGGTGTGTACCACCATGCCCTAATTTTTGTAGTTTTTGTAGAGATGGGGTTTTACCATGTTGGCCAGGCTGGTCTCGAACTCCTGACCTCTGGTGATTTGCCTGCCTTGGCCTCCCAAAGTTCCAGGGTTACAGGTGTGAGTCACTGTGCCTGGCTGTGTTATTGCTGTTATTATTATTTCAGCTTCAGTAGCATAAATCCGAGATCCCCATATCCCCACCTAGCAATGACCTCTGGCCCACACAGAAAGGGGGATGTGTGTGCACAGAGAACTCATCCTACCTAGCCTATATGTAGGGTCACTTTTTTCCTACTGCCCAAGGCACTTAGTTCAAGATACTTTATAGTGGGTATTCAATCTAAAGTACCCAGGTGGGGCTGTGTGTTTCACTTTCTCAGTAACCGCCCCCCGCCCCCAAGAACTGGGTTAATAAATATTTGCTGAGTATAATTTGCTGCAGGCTGAGGTGTCTTAATGACCCAGCTGGCCCTTCTTAAAAGAAAATTTTGGCTGTGATAAGCAAATCGGCCAGGTAATTATCTGTACATATACAGACAAAGAAAGACAATGCTTGGAGTTGAGCTGTGCTAGAATACCTCACACGCAGCCCCTCCCCTCCACAGCCACCGACAGGCACCGACCCTGTTCAGATGTGCTATTGGAGCCCTAGCTCCGGGGTTCCTGATGTTCCCTGGTATCAAAACTCCTCTCTCTGCTCTGAGGCTACCAGGCAGGGAATATGAGCCACTTTACTGCTGGGATTTCCCCACACTGATTGGCAGAAACAGGAGGTAGCAAGGACTAAGCAGCTGGTCCAGTGGTTGCCTCTCCTATTCATGCTCCCTGTCCCAGGCTGGAATCTCGTGGAGACCCGCCCTAGAGCTCACTACAGAGCTGGTTCAAGCTTCCACAGCGCTAAGGTGGCAGTGACAGTGCGGACTGTAAGCTTTGGAACAAAGCTCAGTGGGGAGTTGGGAGAACCCAGGACTTCTTTCTGGAAAGCCTATTGCCAGCCAGTCTCTCACGTGCAATTGTGACCCCCTGTGTGACTACCTTGATAACAGCCACTCGCCCTGTCCCAGCCCCAGTCCCTACCCCGCCTAGCTCTGCCCTGCCTAGACACAGCCCGGTGGGGCTCGGCGAGCCTTTGGGCACAAGAGCCTGTTAGTCCAGACGCCGACTGCGCGCAACCAGGAGAACGGTTATTTTCTGCCATGTGCTCCAGCTCTAGCGACCTCGCCCAAAACTGCGCGCCAGCAGCCTGCCCAACAAACTTTGCTCTCTTTCTCTTTTCGGTTCAACCAAATGGTGCTGCCACAGACGCACTCTCCAACGGTTTAGCGCGGATCCCAGCCCTGCTTTCCCGAGCCCAGTGCACGTCACTGGCAGCTCACTTGACTCTAGTCCCCCAGGGCCAACTCAGCCCGAGGGGCTGCCGCCGGGTCGGCGCTGCGCATCCCTCACCAAAGCTTACAGCTGCCCCGGCTGCGGCGGGCACTCACCGATCTGCGCCAGGCTCAGCTGCACGAGGCAGAGTCCCCAGGCTGCGCGCCACCAAAGCTTGTCCATGGTGTCCAGAGCGAACCGAGGGCGCAGACGAGAGGAGCTGGAGGATCCCGGGGGCGCGGGGCAGGGGCCGGTGAGGAGGGCGGACCGAACCTGGCAGAGGCTGGGGTCCGCTGGGCAATGAGGCTGCCTCGGAAGCTGGCTGCAGTTTTTATTCGAGGGTTGAAAGTGACCTAAGACGGAGGGAGGGAGCGAGGGAAGGACACACCCAAGCGAGAGGGGCTGTGACTAAGCTGCCGGCAGAGGTTTAAAGAAGTAGCGCGTTCCTCGGCGGGCCCCTCTGCCGTCGCCCCGAGCTCTACTGAGGTTGTAAATCGGGGCTGCCGGGGACGAGGGTAGGGGAACCGGGAGGGTCGCGGGGTGCTTGTGCCTCCGAGCCCCACCGGCCCCTGAGTCCCCGGGACGCACCAGCTTTCTCCTCCCGCTGGCCCCGAGGCGTCAGGACACAGGATGACTGAATCCTAAAACCTCGCTCCGTTGGGTTCAGCCTTGGGCCTCTCCTTTCCCGCTAAACTTCTGTTAGAATCCAGCTGGAGAGAGATCTCTGGGTTTCACAGGTAGCTGGATATCCTGGGAGAAGTTCTGGAGACAGGGCGAGGTCTTGCTCTGGGTGGCTGGATGCCTCCCAGCCCTTAGTGGAGAGTGAGGGATGGGGAGTGAGGGGTGGGGAGTTGGTGAACTTCCCAGGGGAAAGAGGGAGAACTCATTCTTTTTCCCCTGAAAAATGAGTGAAGTCCACATGGCTTGAATGAGTTTTTGCTTCTTGTCAGAACAGCTCAGGGAAAGCTACAGGTGGCCGGTCATAGGGCTGGCATTTGGCTCGGTCAACCCATGTGTTCAAGCCAGTGGGGGCGGGCACCTCTCTCTAGCCACCCACATACATGCTCATTTATCCTCCTAAATATCCTTCCATCCACTCATCCATCTATCCACCCATCTTCCCTTATGTCCTTGCAGGGCTCTCACATCCATCCATCCATCCATCCATCCATCCATCCATCCACTAACAACTTAGGTCCATCCATCATCCCGTTCATCCATTAATGCAACCACACACCTTTTAATTTATTCATACATCCAACCACCTATTCTTCTATTCATCCTCCCATACATTATTTCACACATCCTTTTTCACGTCTCTTCATAAACTCACAACAATCTACCATCCTCCTCTTCACCCATCCACCCACACACCTGTTTATTGATATATCCACTGGTCTCCCATCCATCCATGAACGACATATCCACCTATCATTTTACTCATTCTCTCATCCACCCATACATTTATCTATTATTTTTTGCCCCCATTATCCTCCTTTCTGTGTAAACATTAATTTATTTTCTCCCATCTCTTCTACCCAGCAGCTTTTAAAGTAGAGATTGTAATATTCTTCAAGGGAAGCCTTTTGAGATTGAAATATCATACTTTGAATGATAACTGTATAGGTACCTATAATATACTATGCTTTAATATTTGGAAATCAAACACAGTACTTATTGTTCATGTGAACTACTAAAAGTAAATCTGCATGGACTTCTTGCCTAGTAAGTTACACAGAAAGTGAAAGTGATTATCAGTGTCTGTGGCAAGACTGAAGGAACCATGCCAGAACTTCTGAGGGAAGGTAAGATTTTGTTATTTATTTCAAGAAATTGAAAAGTTGAGAGAAATGCACCCAACCATCCACCTACCCATTCATTCATCAAATATGTCATGAGTGTTGTGGGGTATCAAGGTAAAAAGACCTTGCCCTATTTTCAGAGGCCTCACCCTCTGGTAAGGAATCAAACTCCCAAGCCAGCCATTACCACGCAAGGTGAAATACGCTGCAAAATATGTGTGTTCAGGGTGCTACCATTCCTAGAGAAGGGAGTCATACTCTCTCCTGGAGAACACCAGGCAGTCTTCACAGGGGAGGTGATATTTGAGGCAGGTCTCAAAAGAGGAGGGGGAATTCTTCAGATGAAACTACAGGGATGAGTCATCCATTGGCAGCATTATGTAACGACAAACAGCAGGGATGGATTCAGGAGCCAGAACACCTAGGTCCAAACCCTATCTTGGCTGCTTCTTAGTTGTGTGACCTTGACTAAGGCAATTAACTTAATTTGCTCAAGTATAAAATGGGCTCAATAATAGCATCTATGTATTTTATAGACTTGGTGAGGACTAAATGACTCAAAGCCCTGCATGTATTAAGCATTAGATTTACGTTTATGTGTGCGTGCAGTAAGCACTATAGGTAAGTGTTTGCTATTGTTACTAAAAGCAAAATTGTGTTTGAGCATAGAAAAGTGAAAGAACATGGCTTGTACAGAGAATGGAGAGCAACGTGGGTTGAACACAATCAGATGAAGGTGTCGGGGAAGACAGCAGACACGAGGTTACAGATGTGGGGAGAACAAGGCGTAAGCTATGCCAGGGAGTTTGAACTTGAATCTGTAGGAAATAAAGAACCAATGTACATATTTAAAATTATTATTATTATGTTAAAATATGCATAACATAAAATTTGCCATTTCACCCATTTTATTATTTTATTTTTGAAACAGAGTTTTGCTCTTGTCGCCCAGGCTGGAGTACAGTGGCCAGATCTCGGCTCATCACAACCTCCACCTCCTGGGTTTTAACAATTCTCCTGCCTCAGCCACCCGAGTAGCCGAGATTAAAGGCATCCCCCACCACCAGGCCTGGCTAATTTTTTTTGTATTTTTAATAGAGATGGGGCTCATCATGTTGGTCAGGCTGCTCTCGAACGCCTGACCTCAGGGAATCCACCTGCCTCAACCTCCCAAAGTGCTGAGATTATAGGTGTGAGCTGCTGTGCCTAGCCCATTTCACCCATTTTAAAGTGTATATATCACTGGTATGTAGTACTCTTACAAGATTGTGCAACCACCACCATTGTCTAGCCCAGTGTAAATTTTTCAGGTGCAGAGATCCTGTTTGACTAAAGACTGCTCCTCCTGCATTTTCAGGAAGAGTGTTTGGAACTGAAAAATCCATGTCTGAACCTAGTCCTCAGCCACTCAGAAGCTGGCAGGCCAGGATGCAAAGGGCTGCCTGTCTGGAATGAAGACAGTGCCTCAGAACTCCCACCTGAAGAGCAGGTGCTTGGAAAATGCTGCCAGTCTGTAGGAAAGAGTTGCTGCTGCTGTCTGTGACCAAGAGGACACTTTATTTCTTCAAACAACTGGGGTTCAAACCAGCTCCTGGGTAAGGCTTCAGGCCCTACCCATGTGAGAAACCAGCCCTGGTGGGTTCCATGGAGAAGAGCACAGGACAAGGAGTGGCATTGTTCACCTCCAGGCATTTCGCTTTCTTTTCTTGGAGGAAGAAAGTGAAGTGGGTAGTCACTAGGAACAATGTGTGTCTTACTGCGTTTCATGGAACCTGGAGGTTCCTTAGAGACCCTTCAGAAGCAGACATAGTGGTCAGAGTAAAAGCCTAAGAGTAAGCTGTGCCTCTCTGTCCCCAGTCCCCATCCTGACTACAGAAGTTCCACCTGCATCGGTTTTATATACCAGAATATTGCATGAAATTGCATTTTGACAAAGGACTATTTAAAAAAAATACATAAAAAACAACAAACTAGGCCATATCAAGTCCTGGTCCCATCTCCATTAGTGCAGTAAACAATTCCACCAAGGCAAAAGCAGGTATGAAAGTGCTTCACAAACTACAGAGGGGCATGCAAATTCTAGGGGTTGTAATTAGGATTAGTCTCCCCAGCAGGGAGTATTTTGTTTGCCTGCTTCCCGATAGTTTAGTAAAGGACTGAGGTCATTTGCCCCCATACCACAAATGACTCATTTCAAATAACTGACTTGGTGACTTACTGAGTCAGGGCCTGCCTTTGGGAATTCCTGGATCACCTCTCTGAGCTCTCCTCTCCTCCATTTTTCACTGTAAACACACCCTGCCCACACCCTGGTCACACAACCTCTTCCCAAACTCTTAGCTGCTCCATGTCTGTGGTGTGTTGCACCACCTCTCTTTCTAAGCCAAACCATGGGACGTGGGAAACTGGAAAGGAAACTTGATTGATTTGGGTTGACATAAGATCATACTATTTGGAGAGAATCCAGAATGCAAACAGCAGCTTTGGACCAAGAAAGCCCAGGTATGCGCATTGGCTTTCCCCCTTATCAGAGGATGACTTAACCTCTGGGAGTTTCGGTAATCCCAGCCACAAAATGAGGGTAATCAGATCTGACCCATAGTTGACTATGAGCAGTCAGTGAAAGAAGACATCAAGACCTTTTCCTGGGGTGCCTCCCTCATGGTGGAACTCAATGACCTCTAAGCTACCTGAAAACAGGGACACATCTGTCTGGGGTGCTAGCACCTACTCAGCTCTCAGTTCCTGACATACACACTGTGCTCCATAAATAAGCATTACATAAATGCAGGAGGGACTGTTATTTTTTCCCTCCCATCAGAGAACATAGGGGTGTTTCAGGAATCTCATGCACTGGTGGGTGGAAACACATAGACAACCTGACAGTTTCTAAATAAATGCAAGCAATGGTATCATATTCGGGGTGACTGGTTCGGGAAGACTTCGGTGCAGCCAGAGCATTACTCACTCTGGCAGACTAGGGTTCTTTGCTGAAATATTGGGGCCTGATGGCTTCTGACTGGTAGTAATAAATCCTGTTCCTCTCAAGCAAAGAAAAGTCAAATCTAAACCAAATGTGAGCAGGAGTGTAAAATGCAAAGCTGGGAGATCTTGGGCTGAATCATGGAATTCCAGGATTATAAATGCAACAGGTCACAGACTCTTTTAAAAGGACAATATTTAATTATTTCACAGGACTGCTTCCCAGAAAAGGAATGATCTGGCATGGGAAAGAAAAGGTGACATTCCAGTTAAACCTCAACTCTTAAAAAAATTCATCCTCAGTTCATATTCAGTGTGAATTCTGCACATACAAATGAGTCGTGGTGAAAAAAGCTCTTGCGAAATAATTATTATTAAAGTCTAAATAAACCAGTGGCTGGGAAGCAAACTTCATAAAAATAAATGACCTCCAATGACTAGTCTCAAGCTAACCAACTGTGATTACAGAGCTGAGCCTTTAGGATTAATAAGACTTTCAAATTATGGCAAATAAAGAAATTAGTGTGGCTGCTACACCCTGGAAGTGCCAAGGAGACAGATGCATCTGGATTTTAGATAGGTCCATGTTAGCCACAAAGTGAGTTTTACACAGACTTTTGGAGTTTAAAATAGTATGCAGATAGGACAAATCCTAGACTTGGATGATAATAAATTTAGAAATGTGAATATTTGAGAATGAAATGTAAATTAATGATGTGTGACTTTACGTAGCAAGCTAACTGGAAGGAAGACAAGTGAGGCAGTGTATATTTTATGCACTATTATTTAAGGGAAATGTAATTATATTTATTTTTAACTATATTTATTTTAATATAAATATTTAAAAATAAATTATATTTTTCACTATATTTCTTAGTTCATGTAGTAACTAAAATTCATATTTATTCCTCTTCTCCCCACTTCATACAAAGTGGTTAAGCATTTATTGGAAGGCTTTAGAAATCTGTTTCAATGAACATTTAAGCATGATTTGTTTTGGACATAACCATGATTGATATGTAAATGGTAACTAAAAGTCTTGTAATTGTCTGAAAATTGCATGTTCTCTGCATTCATTCACTATGTGATAACTGTGTGCTGAGAACAATTTATACATTCTTGGTTCTGTCATAATTAATCATCACCACTCCATCACTGCCACTATTGCTGTTACCACCACTACCACAACCACCATGACTACCTTGAAGGCTAACACCACCACCACTGCCACTGTCATCAACACCACCACTGCCACTGTCATCAATACCACCACTGCCACTATCCACCATCACCACTAGAGTCATCACTACCATCACTACAACCGCCACTCTCTTCAGCATCATAGCTAATAGCCAGTACTTTCTACATGTCAAACCTAATGTCATTTAATTGTCACAACGATCCTATGAAAAGTTAATTTCTATTTTACAGATAAAGAAACAAAGTCTTAGAAAAGTTACAAAACATGTTTAAGATCGGATTTTTATTTCACTTAGCAAATTTTTCCTGTCTTTAAGAGATAGGCGGATAGAAAAGTTCTGATTCTTGACATAGCAAAAATGCTAAATCAATGGAATCCTAATTCATTAGTCTTTACTAAATTTTATTCTGAATCATGGAAATAAGTTTCTTTTAAGAAGGAAGATTTCCTTTGGAAGCTTTTATTGGAATGGAGGAAATGAAAAGAGTTGCTAAGGCAGAGGATGGAAAATGTTGACTCCCCCAGCTCCCTGAAAAATTAGAATCCTAGAATAAGACAACTTTAAATGTGTAGATGCAGAGCTTGGCTATTCAATGGACAATTTTAGATTTGCATAGGATTATGCCTTGATTTCTTATAGTATCATTGTGAGATGGTTGTATATTCTGACTAGAAATAGCACCATTTTCTAGTTCCAGCACCTGAAAGTTTATTCAATGACAAGAATACTCACAAGACCCTTTTTGGATTTTTGGCCTAACCCACAAGTTGTAGTTCCTTCTCTGAATATTTCATCCAGATCGTGAAAAGCAGCTTCGGCAGCCATAGTTATATCTGAGGTGGACACCTAAAGCAATCCCGACCAACCGGAGTCTTAGATCTTGACATTTGGGATTAGAGCATGGCTGAAGGTATAAGACATAACCTTGGAAGCTGTGGGGTAGCAACACACCTCCATGAGGACAGAGAAGCAGGGGAAGGAAGAATAAAGCAGAAGCTCACAGAAACACAGGGAAGACTTCTTGAGTTCTAACACTTTTCTGGCTCCTTGCTGTAGTCCATTCTTGAAACACTTGTACCTTACAGAAGCCAGTGGCAAGAATGCAGTCAGGTCCTCCTAATAAATTCATTTTATTCTGTTTACATTACCACAAGCTGGTTTCTGTTCCTTACAACCAAAAAGACTCGATGAATATAGGAGACCATCACACCATTTTACAAAAGAGTAAACAGAGGCTCAAGTGGATGGTGGATGCCCTTACCATGGGATCTTGAATTCAGGACTTTGACTCTAAACCTCAGGTCTTCTGTTTCTGAGTTCTGTGCCCTTTTCATCACTTTGCCAAACCTACAATCTCTCCCCACATCATCCCATTCTAGCCAAAGAATACAGTTATCTCTCCTGAAACTAGACATCCCTGATACTTTGCCTACAGTTGTACGGCAATCCAAATGAGTGGCAGGTCTTCTGAGTCCCATCTTCCTAGATCTTCTCCAGAGAGCCCCTTTCTGCCTGAACATGCCTCACAGTTTATTTTGAAAGGCAAAGCCTTTCATCTGGCAGATGGTAACAGCTGCTTCTCTTCAAAACACCCAAAGGGTAGAAATTCTGGGCTCTAATGTACAGGCGTAAGACTCCTGCCACTTCCTGACTGGGCTTAGCATCAACTCCTGTAGAAAAGGAATAGGTATAGAACATGGATGTGAGGCAAGGCCAAAACGCATTTTATTGCTGGCTACTGTTTGCCAGCCACAGAAGAATGCTGCTGTAGAAGGCATGGCATGGGTGAGAAAGAGACTTGTTGAACTGAACTTTAATGGGAAAGAATGTGGAGAGGGCGGGCAAGGGAAAGAGAAAGGAAGAGATGTTTTGAAAGAGCATATGAAGGTGAAAGGAGACAAAAAGACACAGATGTGACTCCACGGTGATACAATGGAAAATAAAAGTCTTCT